TACTGATAATGGTGATGTGCTTTTCTGGAATGCATTTTACATGTATGGAGATGACATGCTTTTCTGAAATACATTTTACATGTTTGGAAGCTATGTTGCCAATATTGATTAGGTGTTATTACTTTCAGGATGATATTATGACATTTGAGGGAGAGCAGCAGGCAGAATTGCTTCAGCTCTTCCAGCCAGTGTACCTGAAATTGGTGGATACCTTCATCCAGAAATCCCTGCTGCCTCCAGATAATGCTCTGTCCGCAGAGGAGAAGGAAATGTTCCGTTGTTACAGACAAGACATCTGTGATACCTATGTGAGTGTTGGAAGAGAAGATAAATGTACATTTACTATTTTAAATGCGAATATATGAGCATATATTATGATTAACAAAGGGGTTTGATATATGTCCCAAAAGGATAAGTAAATGGAGCTTGAATCTGTTATGATTTCGCTGCAAAGCTCAGAAGAGGATTTAAAATGTATGATGAAAGTGGATGTTCATGTTGTTTTCTTTCCAACAGATGTATGCATATTATGTATTAAGAGGAGATATGCTGAGTCATTTAGAAGTTCATCTTAAGGATGCTGTAGTTAAAATGCAGAGTGACCCCACTGACTGGCGGTACTTGGAGGCAGTCCTGCATGCATACTCCTCTGTAGCTGAGACTGTTGCCGAAACAGATAACTTCTATGTGCCACGCTTCATTCAGAGTATACCTCAGATACCATTCTCTGATAATATTCAACTAATATCTGTGGCATTAACAACACTAGGTTAGTAACCAATACGTTTTAAGATTGTTTTAGTGAAATATGTCTGCTTATATGTATTAAATGGCATTTATAGAAAGTAATTTTTATTAGTGACATAGTCATCATGATGGAGTGAGTCCTTTGTCTGAAGTTTTATTACTGTTTGATAATTTCAACAGGAGCATATGCAGATTGGCTGAACTACCACCAGGATCACATGCACCATGTAATTCCCCTCATGGTGGAAGGACTCGTAAATGCCTCTCTTGTTGGGGCTGCCTCCCAAGCCCTCAGGGACCTTACGTTAGAGTGCCCTCTCACCATCTCTCCCTTCTCACAACCCATCTTGACAAGCTGTCAGGTGAGTTGGCTGCTCTGATGCCTGATGTATTTTGTTCATTGACTGTGTTAGAAGCACTTTTAGTAATGCTAGAGAGAGCAGTGGTTGAAAGGATATTCCAGAAATGTTGAAAATGAAAGTGTTAGTAGGAATTTACTGAAAATGTATGCAAGAATCATCTTCTAATTTTCATCACTTATCTAAACAGAGAGCACTGGAGCAGAGTCGACTGGACAGTGCTGAGACAGAGCGAATCATGACCATCATCAGCCGAGTGCTCTCTGTGGGCAAGGACCAGCCCACTATCATGACCTACCTCAATGCTACCCTCACTCCCTATATCTCACGTCTTAGTCAGCTAAAGGATCTCATGGTGAGTAATAGGATTTAAATTGTAAAAGCAGGGGTTGCAAATACATGACAAGCATTATAGGGGTTTGTGATGAGATACTGAAAGCATGTATGTATTGGTTAGGTACTAAATGCATGTGACCAATCTAGATTCTGGGAAAGATATTTACCCACTACTTCATTGGATCTGGGTGATGTAAACTTCTTGTCAAAAAAGATTGGGCTGTTGGATGGGTAACAGAAATGACTCATCATGGAAAAAATTAAGCTAAAAGGCAGGTGATATGAACATTTCACTGTGAGATGTGTTAGTGTGTGGCAGTTGACGGAGACTCTTTGGTGAACAGAACACTTATGCAAAGGTTGCTTCAGTGGGTCTTCAGGAAGTGGCACATTTGCAAGCTCCTGCAGTTTTTCCATCAGTCCAACAGGATCGTGCATACCATCTGTGAGCCACACCTGGGAAAGGACCATCTCCAGGGAGGACACTTATTTCCAAATGCAGGAACCTCTTGCCTGCCATTGCTGCTGATGCAGGGTGTATTGTGGAAATTGTATGAAAATAGCTATAGTGCAAACTAGCTGGATGTATATTATGAAGTCTGGTTAACAAAAATTGTTTACTATCATCTTGGTAAAACATTATTGTTAACAAACAACTAAGAAAACATTAAAAAATTAATCTACAAAAAGAGAATAGCATTACAAAGAGCAGGCAAGGAGTCTTGCTACCTTGCATGAGTGTACAAGTGGACTGGGCCTACAAGCCACATACCTAGGAGAGTTGCTGCTCAAGTAAGCTTAATGCCCAGATATTGGTCCAAGTGCGAGCTGAGCTGCAAGGCACTCAGACCCAACAAGTTACTCAGATTGATAGCCAAGAAATGGTTGGTTAGAAATGGTGTAGTGCAAACAGAAATCATTGCAGTAAATAGTGGAAATTTGTGTCCTGTAATGAAAGATGATATGAAAGAATTTAATGGTGGAAAAAGTATGGATATTGGGTTGTGAACAGTTAACACACTAGCGATGCTACATTTTCAAGCCGAAAAGAATATTTT